AGTCTCTTTACTTACTTAATTATGTATTTATTTATTTATTTATTTTTAACTTAACAATAGCATTTTTTTTGTGTATCACTATTCACAACAACGTATATTTTAACAGTTGAGTATGGTTTTGGGGCCAGGGACTAGATTAGTTCTGCTAGAACTACCTCTCTGGTCCCCACCAGGAATAATATATATATTATTATTATTCATTCAGATAAAGTTCCCTGTACAATTGTCTCTTTTTTTCTGGTGGAATAAATCTATTCTATATGTCTAATAATATACATATTTTTCATTATTATTATTATCGCCGGATAAAAATTTATTTCATTTTTTATTGCTATACTACCTACCAGTAATTGGAGTCGATTATTTGGTCACTATTTTCAGATTTTTTTCTGATGTTATATGAATATTTATTACATATTTATATACAGGGAATAACGATGTATAAATTCATAATAAGAAAGGGGGGATTTACAATTCGAAGAACAACTGACACAGCAATACTCAGTCAGTGAAAGAAATAGTGAGCACATTCTAATTCACATTTTAAACCTGTCAGATATCAACTGAGTCTATAGCAGCCAAAATAAAGATGTCCTATCGATGCTGACCCCCATAAAGGATTACTACCTATTCCCAGCAGGGTCTTTTTAATAGGGGTGACATACGTGACTAATTCCCATATACAAACTTACTTCACAAACGATACGGTTATAAATCCATCGTACACACGAACTGGATTCCAAAAAACATTTAACTATACTCTATAATTGAAAGTGAATCTCCCTCAGGAAATACAATTATAAAGGGTTTATGATATAATATTTGTAATTGAAATACCAATAGAAAACGACTACCCTTTAATACTTAAATAGATAACAAGATAACTAAATAGATTCAACTGAGTTCTTATATTTATCTATAAGCTTATATCAGCCAAAATATGTCCCGTCGTTGCTTACTTCCCAAAAGCATTACTGCTTATTCCCAACAGGTTTTTTTAATAGGGGTGACATACGTGACTATTTCTCATATACATACTTACATCACAAACGATACGTATATAAGTCCATCGTACACACGAACTGGATTCCAAAAAACATGGAAAGTGAATGTCTCCCAGGAAATACAAATACAAAGGGTTTATGATATAATATTTGTAACTGAAATACCAATAGAAAACGACTCCCTTCGAATACTTGCATAATAATTTTAGATAAATTGTTATATAAATTAAAAGAAAAATACCCCACCTCCCGATTATATATTGCATACCAATAATGGCGTACAAAGCTGAATGCTTAAAAGATAAGATATGATTGGTTTACCATTTTGTATAAAGTCAAAATGCAATTAGATTCAGATGTTAATGACATATACATGTACTTTGTCAGGGTAAAAAGTAACCACGTGTGATATATGTCGAGACTTAGATTTAGGTGAAAACTATTGCAATTAAAGTTGTCGCCAAACGACGTTTTTGGTTTTATTGTGGTATCCATAGTTTTGTTGTCAAATGAATGTCATATCAATGTCCCCTGCCGTTTTTGTGTGATTGTGAGACAAATAATATGTTCCCATTGTATTCACGAATGGGATTTGTTTGTTTGTTTTAAACTATTGTTAATTTTCACAAAATACAATTATTGTTTATAATTTTTCAAAATGTTGATCAAAACCAGTAGCCCATAAAATTGTTTTCCCATTTGGTCCAAATTTAGTCAAATACAGTAAAGCACATAAAAAAAAAGTTATATCAACATTCAGGCTAGAAACAGTTTGACGTTCAAAAGGTTAATGTGTAAAGCATTAGTTCACTTAAACTGACGTTGAAAGTTGAGGACCATTAATAGTCCCTCATATCATTTGCAGTAACTTTCATTAGCGTGGAAAGTGAGTACATCTGAATAGCAAGGTTTTAAAATGCTGTAAAAATATTGATTGTAAACTATAGGGACAAAAGTATATTCGCAGAATTTTATTTTCACTAAACCACCCCTTTAGTAAAAATTGCGAAAATAAAGTATTTTACTGTATGTTCTATGGTAACTGATTTTGTTGTACATTTGTTGTACATGACCATTCAATGATTGACATTTACATACAAAGCAGGTAATTCCAGTAAGTCTAGAAGTCTGTTGTATAGTGTTCGCGTATACATTTCAAAATAAAAGCGAATTTTGTGAAGGTCATCGCTGTGTGTTTCTATGACAAGTTGGGTATATTATGATTGTACTATTTTAATCGTATATAATTTTCTCTTATTTGAGTGTATGGATATTGACTTTGCATAGTGATATCGTAAATGCATATGCACACTGAAATAACATGACAGAAATTTAATGCCTCCAATTTTTTGTTTATGAACAATTAAATATTACAAAAACACTCCCTCAGTTGGTGGAAAAAATATTCAGTTTTTTAAACTAAAATGTTGCATACATGTACTTTAAAGCCATTTTTTCAACAACAAAAAAATAACTAAATGC